TGAACATCGGAGACCTCGACAGGTCGTGGCAGAGAGAGGACACGGTATACGTCTGGAGGGGTAAGAAGTTCTGGAAGATCGCCGACTTTCCGCGGGCGCCACGAGTGGTACAGTCGGGCAATACTAACACCGAATGGGACGGATTCTCGGACGATCCCGACGCTGTGGCCATCATTCAAGAGGGTAATTATTGCCAATAGTTTAGTGATTTTTACGATGACATAAACTATTTAATGGCAGGTAAAGCGAGACGCGGGTGGATGTTCTCCTTTTACGGCGGCTATTGGTCGGGTTGGTTACCGGACCAGAGGCCATGGATCAGCTACAAGGCCTGGTGGGGTCAGCCAACCGGGACCATGAAGTTTGGCGCCACAATGCGTTAGCTATGCTCTTAATTAAATAATTAAATGACTTAACATTTAGTTTAATAACTATAACTAATTTATTTAACAAAAAAAACTTTATTTTTTGCTTATTTTCAAAGATAACGGCGATATCAAGAATCCAATGGTTTTCGGCTTCGATGGATCGCAAGTAAACACATAAATAATTACATAATAATAATTATGAGCTATTTTTGTAACATTGGTTTTTGAACGCCGACATACAGGTGCACACATACGCCAGCACTGGCACACTCTTAGACCTGAGAAACACGAAACGAGTGGACGAGACGGAGGAGAACTGGCCAAAAGACATCACCGCCGCCATGAGAATGGCAGACAATACGGTATATCTATTCCGGGGCGAGAAATACTGCAAAAGAGGCTGGAAATGCAAAGATGGTGATTGTGTCCGTATATTAGTTAACCCATGAGGTGATAGTTTTTGCAACCAATTTAACCATCATTTCTATAATCACAAAAATAGTGCAAAGAATGGAAAAACGCGATGAATCTGTTTCACTGTCCGGGAACTAAAGAAAGCGAATCCAGAAATTATAAGAACAACAAAAATGGCGATCAAAACGATGGCGAAGAGAAGACCGAATCGAAGAAACCCGAAGCGAAACCAACGGAAGAGCCGCCACCGGAACCAATAACTGAAGAGACAATAACTGAAGAACCAATAAAAAAGCCTAATATAAAGCAGTCAAAGAAGACAACTGATCCGCCAAATGATGACGAAGACTATGTGGTGAAAAAGGATTCAAAGAAATCGCGTAAAAACGGCCCCCGACCTGACCAAATACGGCCGACACCCAGACGTAGACATTAGTATATAGAAAACTTCACGAATATTTAAATTGTTTTTGTATTTTGTAATAATTTATATAACACTCGACTCTAATATTATGTAAATTTTAAAATAATAATTACATTAAATAACTTTTTATCTCATTAAATATTGGTAATCACTACTAAATTTAAAAAAATATATTTTATAAAATGCAATTAACTGACAATATAATCACAATATGAAGTATACCATTAATATAACTCGTTATAAATAGGTACATGTAAATCTTTACATGGTAAAAATACAAATTATTATTGTTAAATGTTTAATTTAAATATAATATTAATTACCGTACTGTATATCAATATTTTAAGTACTTAATAAGAATTATATGTAATAAGTTACTGGAACTAAATTATATATATTTTTGCTAATTTAGATTATTATAATCATACAATTTTATAGAAGGATTGTATGATTATTTAAATCATACAAAAAATATCAAGGTAACTGGTGGATAAAAAGCTTATACAATATTTCATTATAATGTAAGTTGACAGGTGTATAGATAACTACGTTAAATTAACCTATTACAATTCCGTTTACTTGGGAAAAGACGTAAGTAACATAAAAATGTTTCGCAAATAGTAAAGGACCTAGTTTGAACCAGACATTTAGACATTTAAACCAGACTAAATACTGTACATTGTTACTTAATTTAAGATAACATTAACCATGAAAATTATAACATTTGTTGTAATATTTTTTCACGACTATATATAAAGTCATCACTTTGTGAAGCAAGCATTTTGTGAATTTAATCTTATAATTGTTGCTTAATATTAAACAATACTAATTATGAGAGTCCTATTATATACGGCGCTTGTATGCGCACAGTTAGCACTGGCCGTATGTAAGGCTTCAAAACCAATGGTAATNTGGTAATAATAGACACGGATAGCGGTGTTGACGACGCGTTGGCCATAATGTTGGCCACGTATTGCCACAAACACAATATGATTGATATAATGGCCATCACTTGTCAATTCGGTAATACATATGTCGATAATGTGGTCAAAAATGTCGGCTATACTCTCAATGCCACTAATACTGAAGTAAGTTTGAGTTAACTGTGATAAAATTGATATACAATAATAATATTAATTATTACACAATTATAATTGAACAGGGAATCAAAATATACAGGGGTTCTGACGGACCATTGGTTGGCAAATATGTCGCTTCCGATCACTTCGGAACCGATGGTTTGGGTAACTCTACTAAAGACATGCCTCCCATTTCAGTGCACACCGAGAGTGAACACGCGGCCAATGCGTTGGTACGACTGGCCAGAGAGCACCCGAAACAGATCACACTGTATGCTTTGGGACCACTCACTAATATAGCGCTCGCATATATGTTGGACAACAATTTCTTTGACCATTTAAAGCAAATTGTTTTTATGGGTGGAGTTCTTGACTTCGACGGCAATGTGGGTCCAGTGACTGAGTTTAATGTTGTTGAAGACGTCGAGGCCTGTCATCGAGTGCTGTCCTCTGCTAAATGTCCTATCATTGGTGTTCCAATGGAAACTGGTCTAAGTAATAGATTAACCTGGGTATATATCATTTTAAATTAAACTTGTTCATAATAAACGCAATTACTGTTCATGTTTTAATATGCTTTCATGTTTAGGACATTTACGACCAAATAGTAAAATTGGATTCAATAAAATCAAAATTTATGAAACAGATAACAGATATGAACTATAAATTAGTTAAGGCTGGTATGTATTGCTAATAGTAATTATGGTAAAAGTTATCGTTTTACTCATTATATTTAATACATGTTTTATGAAGAGCCGGGATCTAAAGGACTGGCAATGTATGACATTCTGGCAGTAATGGCGCCCATATATGAAGACTATATTGAATCCAAAGTTGAATACAAGACAAGCATTGAATTGAATGGAGGGCTAACTCGAGGAGAACTCGTGTTCGACAAGAGGTCGACACCCGATGTCCTGAAAAATGACTGGAAATCTGTTCAATATATCAAACACTTTAACCAAACTTTGTTTTCGCAACTTTTAATTGAAATTATGAAATGAATGCAAGATTTAACTTATTTAAATTATAAATATTACTAGAATTAAAGTTTTTGTTAAAGAAAAAATAGCATTTTGTATAAACATAAATAGTAACATTATTATCACCGGAATAAGTTTATTTATACTCTCAAAATTTTAGAAATTTACCAAATGTTTGCACATTTTTAACATTAATAATTTGAAAAACAAATGCAAAAACACATGTTTGTTATTAAATTGTAATAGTGTACATTATACAATACACTGTACAATATGATATAAAGTTTATAAACTTTTTCTGTAATGAAATAATGATAAATATCATAAATGATAAAATGTAAGTTAACTATCCTAAATGTTAGTTTAATATAAAATGTAAGTTTGATTAAGATAGTAAATAAAAGTTTAGTATTGAATTTAACAGTATTGAATTAAATGTTAAATACGGTACAAATATTTGAAAAAGCTGTGATAACTAATGAAAATTGATAGCTAATTTAAAATACTGTAAACAAAAGTTATACTTTTCTATCAAAGCATTTGATTCAAACGAGTCAATCACTCGAAGGAATGGCAGCAAAAAAGTTGGTAATAATAGACACCGATTGCGGTGTCGACGACGCGATGGCCATAATGTTGGCCACGTATTGCCACAAACACAATATGATAGACATTGTGGCCATCACTTGTGTATTCGCCAATACATATGTGGATAATGTGTGCAAAAATGTTGGCTATACTCTCAGAGCCAGCGATATGGAGGTAAGTGTTGGTTAAATTAATAATTAAATGATGGTAATTTTAAATGGTAAATATCATTTTAATAGGCAATCAAGATATACAGGGGTTGTGACGGACCTATTGTTGGCCAATACAAACCCACTCATCATTCAGGAGAGGATGGTTTGGGCGACTCTACCAAAGACATGCCACCCATTGATGTGCACATAGAGAGTGAACACGCGGTCAATGCGTTGGTACGACTGGCCAGAGAGCACCCGAAACAGATTACGGTCATTGTTTTGGGCGCCTTCACTAATATAGCGCTCGCATATATGTTAGACAACAACTTCTTTGACAATTTGAAGGACATTGTGTTTATGGGCGGAACTCTAGACTTCGCCGGCAATTATCCGTCCCCTTTGACTGAGTTTAATATTGTTAACGATGTCGAGGCCTGTCATATAGTGCTGTCTAACGCCAAGTGCCCTATCGTTGGAGTCCCACTGGAATGTTGTCGCAGCCATCCATTAACCTGGGTATTAAATTGACCATGTTTTTCATAAATAGCCTTTTATTGAATATGTTTTATAATAAACCTATTTTTAGGACCTTTACGACCAAATAGTGAAATTGGATTCAAAGAAATCAAAGTTTATGAAACAGATTACAGATATGGTGTGCAAAAAAGTTAAACTTGGTAATAATGACTTAATTATTTATTGAGTATTGATTCATTAAAAAGTTATTTAAATTTTTATTTAGATCCGGAATCTAAAGGTATATTAATGTATGACATTCTGGCAGTAATGGCGCCCATATATGAAGATTATATTGAATCTAAAGTTGAATACAAGACAAGCATTGAATTGAATGGAGGGCTAACTCGAGGAGAACTCGTGTTCGACAAGAGGTCGACACCCGATGTCCTGAAGAATGACTGGAAATCAGTTCAATATATCAAACACTTTGACGACAAAAAGTTTTTACAACTTATGATTGATTTTATGAAATAATAAGTTTTATTTTAATTTATTATAATTCCTGAATTTATTATAATTAATATTTAATTACAGTAAACATTGAATAAAACAGTTAAATAATACAACAGTTTAAATGTATTTAAGGGATTTTAATCAGGGTATTATTAATGTAATTTATTATTCTCATTTATTAAATAAAATTACAAATATTGGAGTTTAATTTGAATACTGTATCATTGAATTTGTTGCATAAATTTTTTACTCATATAAAAACATAGAAACAAATAGTCTTTTGGATCACTAAAAACAGCGACAATTATCTTAACCGCCGACGAGTTGATTGAGTCGATCGTCCAAACGGTCGGCGCATTCATTCACCCACTCGTGCATTGACTTCAATCGGCGAAGAGTTATGTCCGCACAGAATATCTCCGTAAAAACCAACGATTGTTCCCGACTGTTGTCACCGCAGATCAGTTCCAAACCCTTCACCATAAATGACAATCTAGTGATAAACCGCCGCAAACACTGGCTATGATATCGCATCTCTTCGCTCAACTCCAGCACCAATTGGCGGTCAGTATCGGCACTCTCTGTGTTCTCGTCGCCGCTTTCGGCCCTGTCTTTGGCCGCCAGACAGTCAGTCCAGAGGCCGTCCAAAGCCGACATATACTCCGCCAGTTGTTGATTGTCTTTGATGTCGAGGACCTCTTGGATCCGTTCAATGAGCGCCAAATACATCTGAATCTTGTATTGTGTCAACTCGTCTGCGACCACATCCGAGCACATGATAACTCCGGAGATCACAAACTGTTTCCGGTTTGTCTCCGGCGATGACTCGTCCAACACATATATCATAGCTATAGTCAGACCCAATATCTCTTTGATTTGATCCTCGATCTGATTGCTATCCGAGTTGTTATTCGTGTCAATAAATGATTGAATCACTTCCGGTGATGACTCCTCTTCAGACATCACTATTTTCTGTACTTTTAATTATCTATAAATTGTTTACAAAACATGTAAAAAAATGAAAAACGATTCAAAATATATAACACTCATTGTTAAGGGCGTTCACGGATTTAGACAATGCAAATAAAAATGCGTTAATAATTTAAGTCTCGTTTATATTTAAATTAAATTACAGTTAAGTTAACGATAAGTATTGTATTGTTGTCTCGATTTATAAAACGTTGAAAATCAGAATTTGTAACTTTTGTTCAAATTTATCGGATGTGAGAATCGGTTGTGAAAAACAAAAACTTCTGCGAAATAGTTGTCCAACAAATCAGTCCTTTTGTATCGACAAAAACAATGGCCGGCAGTAAG